AGATAGATAGATAGATAGATAGATAGATAGATAGATAGATAGATAGACAGGTAGACAGACAGACAGACAGACAGACAGACAGACAGACAGACAGACAGACAGACAGACAGATAGATAGATAGATAGATATAAGGATTGACAGACAGACAGACAGATAGATAGATAGATAGATAGATATAAGGATTGACAGACAGACAGACAGATAGATAGATAGATAGATAGACAGACAGACTTTGCTGTAATGTGGTAGAAGGATGAGAAAGTGGCTCTGATGGGGAACAGCGCCACCTCGTGAGTCTGGAAGGGACAAGCCGTCTGCACAGTGACTGATGGGAGAATAAATAAAGTGAAACATTGTCTCTCTGGAGCCGGACATCGAGCCCGTGTCTGTCTCATTCACGGCTGGTATTATACCCGACTCTGCCCGGGGGAGGACACCGACAGATGCTCGAGACAAGCGGTCACGGAGAGGACACATCACCGGCAGCTCACATCCAGACACATGCGGACACAGCGCAGACTGGACCGCGGGGGGGGGACATGGCGTGTGACAGCCACACAGTCCGTGTTAGCAGCCTGAAATGTTAGCGAGCTAACATCTGAAGATATAAACAGCAGTGTGTACACAGTGAAGCGGCGCAGCCACAGCTAACCGCAGGCTAATGCTAGCGTTGTAGCCAACAGGCTATTTGCTGGTGTGTAGCCAGCTAACTTTAGCTGCTCGGGGCCTGTCTTCTTCTTCTTCTGCCTCCTGGGACCGACGCTTTCAGGATAATTCAAGGTAACGTTAGACGTCAGCAGCTTCCTATTGTCACCGTGCTCGTTCAGCTACATTAGCTAGCTGCTCCTTGACTTGTTAGCTGTGTTTAATTGTCTTATCATCATTACAGAATACCCAGCAGCTACTCTGGTATGAATTCAGCTGTAAACTAGCTAATGTGCATAATACAGTGTATTTTTTACAGTTTGTCCCTTGACATTTTGATTAATAAACCCCACTGATATTTTAGTTTCCCCTCAGATTTCTGCCTTTGTCCCCTGAATGACAGCTACAGACTTTGATTTGTTTTACATCATCATCATCACATCAGCACCTCCTCTAACAAACTTAGCAAATGAAAACATCTTCATCTGTGTTGACCTTCACTCATACCCCATCATCTCCTCCATGTTCTCTGTCCCCCCTATCCCCATCGCCTCAGGCAGCAACTAATCTTATCTTTTGTGTTAAATAATCTGTGGATTAGTTACCACATTAAACATGTGCCTGATGTTTTTCCGTCTAGATCCATGAATTATTCCCTGGGAAAGTGTTGAAAACCCCCCCTCTTGTCTTTCCTGATCCAAACTGCATCCTTCCACCAGATTTCGTGGATATTCGTTCAGTTGTTTTTGTGTTAGCTTTCTTACAAACCAACAAACTGACATAAGGGGGGAAAACATAACCTCCTAGGCTGTGGTAATAACTTTACATTTAAGAAGCTGCACATGTTTGTTCTTTTCGCCCGACTGTTTATCAGTGCTGTGTTGATGTGGACTTATTGCTTCAGCTCTTTAACAGTTTGTTTTTTTCTCTTTTTTTTGTATTAAGGGACATGGATTTCCCAGGCCACTTTGAGCAGCTCTTCCAGCAGTTGAACTACCAGCGTGTCCATGGCCAGCTGTGCGATTGCGTCATCGTTGTGGGGAGCCGACACTTTAAGGCCCATCGCTCTGTGCTGGCAGCCTGCAGCACTCACTTCAGAGCCCTGTTCACTGTGGCAGAGGGAGATGCGAGCATGAATATGATTCAGCTGGACAGCGAGGTCAGGAGCGTAAAAATCTTGTCAAAAGCAGTAGCAATGTAGTATAATCTTAATAATTTACAATGATGACATAGAGGGTGTTGAAGAGTGTAATCCAGTAAAAAACATGGACATTTTTTGAAATATTAAATTCTGTTTTGTTACCGTTTCAAATAGCACCAACAAGATATTCATTATATTATATTTGTGTGATTGCAGGTGGTGACGGCTGAAGCTTTTGCTGCTCTGGTGGACATGATGTACACGTCCACACTGATGCTGGGGGAGAGCAACGTCATGGATATCCTCCTCGCTGCCTCACACCTGCACCTCAACAATGTAGTCAAAGCCTGTAAACACTACCTGACAACACGTACGCTGCCTATGTCACCTTCATCCGACAGACCCATACATCACCACCCTCAGCAGGACCAGCAGAGGCGCAGGCAGCAGCAGCAGCAGCAGCAAGCAGATTTAGCAGCGAACCCTACTCTAGCAGCCAATGCTAACCTTGCAACAAATGCTGCTGCATCAAAGTTACAGCGCTCCTTCCTTTTGCAGCAGCTCGGACTCAGCTTGGTGAGCTCTGCTTTAGGGGGGATGGAGGAGGATGGGATGGGAAATATAGTTGGCAATAGAGAGGTGGGACAGAGAGCCTCTTTCCCAATCCGACGCTTCCACAAACGCAAGCCCTCTCTAGCAATGAACCTGTCAGAAGAGAGACCCAGGCAGAGGCAACGCACCTCAGGCCCTAACCTGGGTTTGTTGGGAGAAGAGGGGGTGAACGCAGAGCGAGAGGAAGGAGCACTCCTGTCCCCCGACTCCCACAAGATGGGGGATGAATCAAAATTAGATGCTGCCATTACTGGCCTCGTAGGTGTCTCCCAAGATGATCCTCAGATGCCCAGCCAGTCAGACAGTGGACACTGTGGGGGGGATGACTTGGGGAGAATGCAAGGAGGAGTGAGCAAGGAGGAGGATATAGATGACCATGACCATCAGGTCAACAGGTTAGCTGTGAAGATTAAATCAGGGACAGAGGAAGAAGAGGCTGAAGAACAAGAACAGAAGGTAAAACTGATGCTTCTTGTTTTTGAAAACTTGCACTTCACCTCATGCGATAACATTTCACCAGTTTTCCAAGATGGATCCACCAAACTGTTATATGCACAGACTCGGGCAAGCTGCACGTTTGTAAAATTTAATTCTTAGCACAATGTACATATCTAAATTTCTGTCATTTCCAGTAACTCTACATGATCAGTTGCTAAAATATGCCAATGACCTCATGAAAACCAAAAAAGGTCAAACGTCTCAGCAAGCCATGGTGATTATAATGATGAGGGGATTGGTTAATAATAAGCTTTGTTTATTTTAGTTATTATTGTTATTATTTGTTATAAATTAGGGGAATATTCAAGGCTTTCAATTTAAATTTATATACATTTTTTTTCTCATGGTGAAGAGGCTTGCTGTCTGTATGAAAAAAGAATGAATATGTTTGTAAGTATGTTTCGATCCTGACCATCACAAAATCCAATCCAAATCCCTCTGCTCTAATTAAGCTGCTTCCTTGAAGGCTCCTTGGATTAAAAAAAACAAACATGCGCTTGAGTTTGGCTTGAGTTAAAACTGGTCCTTTGCTTCCCACAGGTGGTGGTTAAACGAGAGCCGCTAAGCTCGCCTGAGCCAACGGATGAAATCAGCGATGTGACATCGCAGGCTGAGGGCAGCGACCCGGCCGAGCCTGGATGTCCAGAGGAGGAGGAGAAGGTGGAGCTGAGCCCAGAGAGCAGCGATCGCAGCTTCACCTCTGAACCCCAACCCAGCTCTGACTCTCTGCTTCAGCCCAGCTCCCAGCTTCTCATCAAAAGCAACATGGGAGGAGGCGCCGGAGTCGCAGGAGGTTTTGGATGTAATAACGGGTTAAATAGCAAACCTGGTTTCAGTATTTCTAGCTTCCTTAACCCAAAAGATTTTGGAAGTGGGGGTGCAGGGCTGGTTACGGGAGAAGATGAACTGCCCAACACGACAACTGGGGATGCAGTAGCGCATCACTTCCTGCTGAGACAGGAATCTGCTGGACCACCTGGCTCTGCTTCTTCTTGTCATCTGCAGTCCCCACTCAGTGGTGAGAGTCGCAACGGTTTTGGCGACAACTTGCAGCCTGATTCTCTGTTCCTCCGTCCCCTGCATGACAGTTTAGGGAACCCCAGAGGAGGTGGAGGAAATGTGAGTGGAGGGCATGGAGGGTTTGAGCCCTTTGGTTTGGACTTCCAGCGCTCCAGCCTGGGGCTTCATTCTCTAGGGCGACCCTCACGAGGAGCCGGAGGAGCCGCCACTGCCTCTCTGGGCTATCCAGGATACAGGCGTATTGCTCCAAAAATGATGGCCAGTATAGGAGGAGAAGAAGGTGTAGGCGGGGTTCTTCAGGATTCTGCCTCTTCCTCCTCAAGTCTGGCAAGTCCCCTGCTTCTCAACGAGAGCGGTGGGTATGATATGAACAGTGGCAGGCCCACCTCCCTCCCCCCTCAGCTCACCCGAGCTTCAGCGGATGTCCTGTCTAAGTGCAAGAAAGCTCTGTCAGAGCACAATGTCTTGGTGGTCGAGGGAGCTCGGAAATACGCCTGTAAAATCTGTTGCAAAACTTTCCTGACCCTGACTGACTGCAAGAAACATATCCGTGTCCACACAGGGGAGAAACCCTATGCCTGCCTCAAGTGTGGGAAGCGCTTCAGTCAGTCCTCCCACCTATACAAGCATTCCAAGACCACCTGTCTGCGCTGGCAGAACAGCAACATGTCCAACGGCCTGCTGTAGGATGAATACATTGGGAATCAGAATATAAAAATCCCTAAAATAGTTTGAATCTTTCTGAAGCTGTGACAGACCAGCCAGATCAGCTGTTATGTTTAAACTAACCAATCCTGATCACAGACCAAAGACAGGGATGATAATATCGTATCATACATTTTATTTAGGAGTAACCCATAATATCAAGTCAGTAAAAGTATCTGTAAACACTTTTAACCTGTAGAAAGATTGTAGGGATGCAGGAAATGTATGTATTGCTATTGACTCATATATTAACATTTATGTACATTGTAATCTCTCCTATACGATTAACAAAAAAATCAAATGGACTTAGTATTATATGATCCAGGCCAGTTCAGGTGTTGCTTTTAAAGCTGCTTCACTGTTGGTTTTGTGTTTTAAAATGTTGACCCTCTAATTGTTAGTTGACATTAGTGCTGAACATCTATAGTTTACTGTATGTTTATAGATGCAGATTTGATTCAGTCATTCTAACCCTCATTCTGAGTGGTTGTAGTTAAAGGGCAAGTATAAATGGACATCATGTAAAATAACCTGCTTACGTGTCGATTTTAAAGTCCAAACATGTAGCAGTAACCTGCATCCCACTGATGGGTGATCCCAATTGTGCATATACTGACGATTGCTTGTTCAGTTCAATGACAGTCATGACTGTGAACTAACTGGTTTCTGTTTGGGTGCAAGAAATAATTCCTGTATTTATTTCGAAGGGTCTTCTTTCGTTTACTCAATATTAAAAGGTAGCTAGAGTTAGAGACCAGGATAAGAACACCAACAAAAAAATAATTCAACATTTTAAAACAGCCAATTATGGATTTCATGCATTTTCAACCACCTTAGGTAATATTGACAACATGTTTGTTAGCTGCCAAATAATTCAGTATGAAGTAACAGGGCCTTCACACTTCACGTGACAACCAGAATTAAATCTCTTACTTTGATAAATTTGTTCCTGACTGTCAGGTCCAACTAGTGGACAAATGGGGACCTTTACATTTTCTAATCACATCTTGCCTATGTTTACAGCTCACTCTATTGACATGGAAGTCCCTTTGTTTAAGGAAGCAAAATAATCTGAGAAATGAAAGTGGGATGAGTGTCAACTTGCAGCATCTTTGCATTAGCAGCAGGATCAGTTCTGTGTTTACTGGGCATTCCAGTCTCATTTTGATAAATATAGTATAATATGATATTGTATTATAATGCTATGATAATACTGAAGAATGTGCTGTAAATGCACCTTATTTTCAGTCACGTGCAAAACGTGCAGTTACTGATAGTTGTATAAGGGACTTTCCGTATTGGTTCCTGACTGGGAAGGACCAGAAGACAAACTCAGCTGTGGCCAAACACATTTACTGATTGTCCAATCATCTGTGTGCATGCGTGTGTGTGTGTCTGCGTGTGTACAGTTTGTGTCGTCTGAGTAAACCGTTTACAGGATATTGAGGTTTAGCGTGTTCTGAAAAAGTGCTTTGGAAATGTAAATACTGCACATTTGTGGTTGGTTTCATACTTTTGCTCTTGTAGAAGAGACAAAACAACTCAACGTTCTGTATAAGTTTGCTACTGTACTTGACATCAGTGCTTTATAAATGTCTCTTTTTACATCTAATGTTGCATCTGTTACTAATGCACTTAGACAAATCATGCTCTTTTATAACTAACACGTTTACTGAAATGTTGAATCTTGTGAAAACGTTGCCGTAATGGAATTATCCAACTCTACCTGCTCTGTTACTTCACCTTTATGTTGGATTGAAGTGAAGTTTTGCTCCTCTCAGTCGTAAAACATTTCCAAAACTTGAATATCATTGAATATTTCACATGGGGATCATTTTGAAACAAAAGATTTTTTACATAATCTCTTTTTGCATGTAAATGTAAAAGGAGTTTTTTTACTTAAATATACTTTAATGTCTATCGTTACCTTGATTGATGCTGTAAGTTTCCCAACTATTGTTCAATTCAGAATTTATTTTGTTTAAAAAAAAAAAAAACACACAGGAAACCTAATTTGCAACTTGGAGAAAATAATATACAGAAGATTTTGACATGAACCTGACTGAGAATGTCTGACTTCCAGCAGGTTGTAAATAAGAGCAGCTTCACTGGTCATTGAATGTTCATGCAGTGTTGTAAAGTTCTGTTTTAGTGAACTTAAATGAAAAAATTACTTTAAATATGCCTTTTTATATACCTGATTGCTTGCTATATCGTGTCTCCTACACTGTCAAAGAGATTCACGTGGTCTTTGGTTTTCATTTGCTTTCCCCACTGTACTGTAGAGTCATTGCACTGTTAGCCTGTAGAAAATGACAGATTAATTTGACAGATTTTAAGCATAATCTCAAATAGAAGATGTTCAAATGTTCTCCCTGTAAAAGGAAGTAGGTAGTAATTCTCTTCACTGTGGAGTAAAGTCACTGTAGCTGATGGTTAAATCTGGAATCTGACATCTGTCCCTGTGCTGCCTCCTCTGTCATGATGGAAAGAGCAGGCTGTGGTTTGTAAAAATGATGAGGTGAAGGAACACTCCTTCATGTCTCACATAGTGGCCTGTTAGGAATTCAAATCCTGCTCTTCCAAAGCTGTTGATGTGAATCTCTGAAAAATGCACTGACTATATTACCCGTGTATGAACATGCCAAACTTTAAAAAAACAAATTGATAAGAAAGTCACTGCCTTACTCTAGCTTGAAAAGCTGGGCTTTTGTTGATATGCCAAATCTGAAGGATTTCTGTTTTTGTTCCTGTATATCTAACGTAGTGTTACCATGGACTAAATGTTTGAAGGCTATGAAGATTGTATAGTATGTTCAGTCGTTGTATAGATTGAATTAAAAAAAAAGATGAAAATTGTTTTGTAGCTGGTGATATGTTTATGAAATGGCACAGAGGTCATATAAGTGATGTGTCAAAAGGAAACAAGGACATCCTGTTAAACTGGTAAAATATACTAGTTTTATTTCCCTTTTAAAAATAATAAGTAGGTGGGACTAATTGTCCATCAGTTCTCAGAGTGGAACCACTGTGTTCTCACAGCTTGAGCTCTTTGATCATCGGCTCACCCCGCAGACCGAGGAGGAGGTTGTTTGCCGCCAGGGCAGACATGGCATTACGGGTGGTGTAGGAGGCACTAGCAATATGTGGAAGAATCACTGTGGGAAGAGAGGATTAAAAAAGACAAATTATTGTAAGTGAGAGACAATGGCAGAGCAGAATTGCCCAAGTGGGATATTAAAGAGTAAAATGTGTGATGGACTCACCGCAGTTTTTAAGAGTGAAAAGAGGGTGGGTGGTGGGAAGGGGCTCAGGGACAGTGACATCTAAACCAGCTGCTGCAATCTGCCCGGTGGAGAGCGCCTCATACAGGTCGTCCTGGTTCACTACCCCACCTCTGACACAGGAGAGAGCACACTTACAACACAGGTATAGCTCTCAGTGGACTTTCCTCATTCACAGGCAACAACTTTACCTGCTGGTGTTGATGAAGATGGAAGTGTTTTTCATCTTGGAGAAGAGGTTCTTGTTGCAGATCTCTTTTGTTTCTGGCGTCAAAGCGCAACACACTGCCAGGAAGTCAGACTGCTTCGCCAGCTCATCGAAGGAGACTACGACCAAAACAGAGACTTGATGTCACATGACACAAACAAGTCTGAGAGCAAACTCATTAATATCTCTAAGATTAGCACGTGGAAGGTCAAAGGAAATGAAGTTATGTGAGTGCTGTAAAACTCAGGTAAACCTCCATTCATTTTATTGACAGTTGGTTTGTGACAGAAAAAGAGAAAAAGCACAGGTTTTACCACAGATGTCAACAGTGTAAATACCAAGTCCCGACGGTGTACCAGGACCGTGAACATGGAGCAGCGAAATGGAATTCAGCCATTGTTTATCTGATCACTACCTCCCACATGGGGGTTATGTTTTCAATACTGTCCTTTGGTTTGTTTGTCAGGATTACGCAAAAACCACTGAACAGATTTCCACAAAGCTTGGCCTAAGAAAGAACCCATCAAATTCTAACATGGGTCTGGAATTTGTTTCACTTTTTTTAACTTTTCCAATTTCCCTGGGAGTAATACACGGGTATCAATGAAAAAATTCATGCACATTTCTGGAACTGATATCTGCGAGTGTGAGCAATTTGGTGGACTGTTGCAGGACTGTTGCAGGACTGTTGCAGGACTGTTGCAGGACTGTTGGGCCTCATAGGAGTAATACTTGTGCTTTTCCTACCGTGACAAAATTCCTTCTGTGGGACAAAGAAAATGCTGACATCATCAATCTGGTCCTTACCATACTCTGCATTGATCATACTGGCCAGCTCAGGCCTGGGGACCACGTCTGTGTAAATGAACTTCTTTACTTTGAAAGGTGCCAGACGCTCAGCGATAGCAACACCTTGGAGCACAAATACACAGCGGAAGAAGTCTGAGACTGACGGAAATAGCAGTTTGGTTTTGATAAGCCGGTGTACCTGCTGCGTGTAGATGTGTGTTAGACACTGTGCTCACCGATCCTCCCCAGGCCAAGAATACCCACAGTGCTGTTGGCCAACTCGTATCCACACAGCCACAGGGTTCTCCATGTGCCCCAGCCACCTCTGACACAAGTGAGAGAGAGAGGGATATTTCTTTTTATAACATCTATGAATGTTTGCGTGGATGGGTTTGTCTGTGTGTATTAACATTACGTCTTGGCTTCATGCGTGGCCTCTATGAGCCTCCTGGAGGTCGTGAGCAGCAAAGCTACAGTCAGTTCAGCAACAGAATCTGTCAGAACATCGGGAGTATAACCTATACGGATTCCTCTGGAGGGAAACACAGACATTACACACAGTGCATGTGCCACCAGGTGTTTGCATATTATTGAACTTTTAGGACCTGGAAACACTTTCTTTGGTTTTATCACAACTTTTTAATTGAGATATAATTCAGATACACAAGTATACACACAAATCAACACTTTTGAATGGATGTGTGTTAATCGATCACCTTTTCTTCAGCTCCTCCAGAGCGAGATGGTCAAAACCCACTGACATAGTACTAAGAACCTTCAGGTTTGGACCTGCAGGTAAGTATCACACGCACAGAAACACATACATAAATAAAATCACTGTACGTTGCATGAAGGTAATTCAACCAGCTCAGGGAATGTCCTCTGACCTGCGGCGTCCAACAATTCTGCATCAATCTTCTCGGTCAGCACGCACAGCAGTGCATCAACACCTTTGACCTTCTCAAGCAACTCCTGTCTGGGCACAGGGACGTCATCTGAGTCCCACAGCTGGAACTGCACCCTGGGAAAATAGAAGCCATGACTTTTATGCAAAAAAGTGTCTCACATGCTTCAAATCTGTCTGTATTAAAACACAGTCACAGCAGGCGATGCAGGGGCTTTCACAAAGGAAGTTCATTGGTCAGTGGTACAGAAAAATACACACGAGCAAAACCAATGTATGTCAAATGCAGACACAATACACATATATCAGGGATTCTTCACACAGGTAAAGCCCTCTCTTCGAGCATTTATCATAGTGCTGGTCCTCTCAGAAATACTGGGACGTAAAGGTAGTGAGATATATTTTCAAATGTGTTGTGGGGAAACACCCCTCAGGTTACATGTCTTATCAGCCCAACCTCAGGGCAAGTGTTAGCAGTTCTGTTTACTCAGAGTAAATGATGAACTTTACAAAGCAGACGTTCAAACTGCATAACTCTATCACAGTTAAATGAGCTACAGCAGCCAATTCATTGCAAGAAATGAAGTAACAGGACACTCACTGTCCAGATTCACGCAGGATCTTCAGACCCTCGGGTGGGATCTGTCTGGTGACGTACACCCGTGATAGGGTGGACATCTCCCTCTGCATGTTGCTTGCTAGAGCCAGTGGAGTAATCCGCTGGAGCCGACGCACTGCCATGCGACTGCACCACATTGCCAGGAGAGAATGAATCTGGGGGCAGATGTTGGAGAGATGAAAGTGGTGCTTTGGAGTTTGCCGTCTGATGTGTGCATGAGCATGATTTTGGCTCCAGTTCAGCAGAGGGGTGGTCCCTGTGTGGATCTCTGACCAATGTGATGAGAGGGAGGGTGTCTCTAAAGTCTGAAGTCGAGAGGTTTTGTCACAGAGAAATCAAAAACAAATTGACTGACTAAATCTTTGTCCTGAAATGTAAGGTTATTTCTAAACCAAAGGTACACAAACATAACCGAATGACAAACTGTCACACACACATAAATGGTATTTAAGACAGCATGTGTTTGTGATATATAATTGTCAACCTAAATAGGATGTAAATGTTTAACCTGGCTGTTGACCGTTGTTCCTTTGAACACTCTGTCTTGTCTGTCCAGCTGGATCTGGTTCAGAAATCTGTCCCTAACAGTTTATATATATATATTGGCCCCAGCAGGATATACAGTTTTAGAACAGGTGATCATGTGTGAAAGTGGTTTATTCTCTGAAATGTTAACAGATTTTATTTAGTGTTGAATATTAATACACTTCAGAAATAAATAAATAGGATGAGATAAAACTTTATTGATGCACACACTGGGGATATTCAGCAGCAGGCAGGTCAGAATGAATGCAGAGTATTCACATAAATACACCTTTCACTGTAGTGGTTTGTACAGAGGTGTTATGAAGTAAAGTGCATTGTGATGATAAATACAATTCTGTAAAGTCATGGATGTAAAATAAGAATTTTCACGAGTGAAGTAGTGTGTGACATCGGTCACGTGACCACGGTAACCCGGAAGCAGTCCAGGTTTTAACCAGTCGCAGCCATTCATTCGCTGTAGCTTGTCGCTCATACTGGCAGGTGGCTTCCTATCATTCTTTCTCTTCTTTGAAAACAACATGAACAAGGATTTGATCTCACCGCTAAGATGAAACCGGAAGCGTATTTCCTCTCCGGGCAGTTATTTGTAGCCTAACGTGCGTGTCATCACTTTGAATGAGTGTATGACAAGTGTCCTCCTCCTCGCCACCGGCGCCGGGCAGCGGTGGCACTCCTAGCTAGCTAGCTAACTAGCTAGCAAGCTAGCTGTAGCGAGCTAAACCTTTCCTCAGCACATTTCATAACCAAAGCGGCGGAAGCTAACAGCTAGCATCTTTGACTGTCACAAGACGTCGCCGTGTTAGATCCCGGTTGTCTGTGAAGCTTGTAGCGCGGCTGACAGCTGTCAGGTCAATAACGTGAGTCGGTTAGCCTGTTAGCTAACCGGCAGCGGGGCGTTGGTTGGTAGATCCTAACACTGATTCTGTTTTTGTTTGCCTGACAGGTGTAGTCCCTATCTCTCTGACACTTGGACCCCCCCTCCTCCCCTCCCGGCATGGCTGCAGACTCGATGGAGATTGACGACTCTCTTTACAGGCAAGACTTCCAGGCTCACTCTCTTATTGTTGCTCATGATGCTGCAGATCACGTTGGAGTCAGGACAGGAGGTGACAGTGTTGTGTTGTGCTCCTTCCCCTGCAGCCGCCAGCGATATGTGCTGGGAGACAGTGCTATGCACCAGATGGCCCAGTCGTCAGTCTTTCTCAGTGGAATGGGAGGACTGGGAGTGGAGATAGGTAACCAGCACATATTGTTGCACTGCAGCACTTTAAAAATATTCAACACCACTGTATTCATATAGTTCTTGTAAAGTGATTAACTTGATTTCTGGTTTTACAGCGAAGAATATCGTCCTGGCCGGTGTGAAGGTATGCACCCTCTATTTAAACGTGATTGTCCAACAACTATATAATGTTTTAATTCAGAGCTTCTTGAAAATTAGACTCAGCTCAGCCCTGGTGTTAACATCTGTTTTTTGTAAATTGTTAAAAGCTTATTTCACATCAGATATTCATTCATTACCTCCTGAATCTTCTCTTTCTCTCTCTTTCTTGCTCTCGCTGTCACACACACAACCACTGTCATCCAACATCTTTATACCGCTTTAAAATAATATCATTTGACCTACATGTGTATTTGCTAATAGAGTGGGGAAGTGAGATTCAATCAAGGTCTTACAGGAGACACATACAATACCAGGTTGAAACAGGCAAACTTGGTGCAGGACGGATGTTATACTAGGTCTGAACAGGACCTTGTCTCACATGTGCTCTGTGTGTGTGTGTACAGGCAGTCACCCTTCATGACACAAAGCAATGTGAGACCTGGGATCTGGGCTCCAACTTCTTTATCCGCAAAGAGGATGTGTTGAACAACAGAAAGAGGTAATGTACAACAGAAATCTGGATAGACTATACTCGCAGAAATCTCACACTCTGACTGTGATCTTTATATACTGTTTCTATACTTTATATGTCTGTTTTCTTTGATTGTTTCATAAATGTTTCCATCCATCCTCAGGGTGGAGGCGGTGTGCCCTCGGGTCGCAGAGTTGAACCCCTATGTTCATGTTGACATGTCATCCTCTGCCCTGGATGACAACACTGATCTCAGTTTTCTTAGCAAATATCAGGTAAGACATTGACATTTTAAATGAGTTCTTAGTCAGTCTGTAAAAAAAATTTTCTTGCACTGGAAACACGAATGTCCCAGTGACAAGAAAAAGAATGTAAACTATGTGGAATCACCTTATACATCTAACCACATTCTTTTTTCATTGACTGGACTACAGGTTTATACATTTCATTAGTCTTGTGATTTCCAACCATTGTGAGTGTTTGAATTATGTGTTCAATATGGACAAGAAGAAAACAATGTGTTTAGTTTATTCAAATCTATTTGGTTCATAAAAATAACTTGGATGGAGATTCAGCTGTTTGTAATATATTACACATAGATGGAGACAATAGCAAATGGCTCACTTACTTTTATTTGCCCCTGCATGTGATATGTAATTTTTAAAAATGCTCAACTGCTATAGACCTGAAATGTGGCTGTAAAGTTTGTTGTTTTTATGTAGAACAGAATCTGTAAACAGTTTGGATTCATAAAAGTCTATCTCAGTGGCTCTATGCATCACCTGCTTACTTTATGTGTAGATGTTACATAAGTTTAATTAACATCTGCTTTATGTTCTTGTTCAGACTCTGCTGCAGACTGAAGGTAACATTTAATATCTGTCTGTCTGCTCTGCTCTCTCCTGCAGTGTGTGATTATGACCGAAGCCAGGTTGAACCTACAGAAGAGAGTAAATGAGTTCTGCCACTCACAACAACCCCCCATCAGAGTAAGTCTGCATTCATTCCAGTGGTTCGACATCACACAGCATGTGATTATGATGTCATGTGGATGTGGAACACAAAAACAGTCAAATATTTATAACTACCTGTATTAGGGCTGGGCAATTAACCAAAATGTAGTGAAAGAGACATTTATAACCTCTAACCAAGTTAATCTTGCTCATGTCGGTCAATTCGGTTAATACATTCCCCATTACATGCATTCCCAAACTGTCAGGTTTCCATACAGTTAATGTTTCAGAGGAGATCCGGGTATTGTGCCATATTACCCTGCTGGATGTCCTCCCTCCTCACTCCCCTGCTGACCTGCACTCACTGTACACATTTACAGTAAACACCATCACTGATCAGAAGTTATTAGGACACATACAGGAAGTTTATTCTGTTTGTTTGATTCACTCCTGAGTTTATGAAACACATTGGAAAAAAATTATACTCCGGTGGGGGGATGGGTGACATAAAATAATTGTTCATTATTTGTAATCAAGGTTAAGGTTGGAAAGAATCATGATATTGATTTGAAGCCATAACTCCCAGCCCTAACCAGTATACTAACCAAACTGTTTTTGTCTTTGCCAGTTCATTGGTTGTGACACATACGGCATCTGTGTGCGGGTGTTTTGCGATTTCGGGGACGAGTTTGAGGTGTCCGATCCCACAGGAGAGGAGCCCAAGGAAATTTTCATCCAAAGTATCAGTCAGGTAGATTTCTGCAACATGGAGATTTGCCATTTTGTTATTCTAAACTCATTGTTACTCTAAACATTTTACAAATAAACTCTTGACTCCTGCCCCTTAAGGACAGTCCAGGTGTGGTAACATGCATGGACAACCAACCCCACGGCCTTCAGACCAGCCAGAGTGTTGTTTTCAGAGAGGTCAATGGCATGGTGGAACTCAACGGCACTGCACGACAGGTCTCAGGTATTATGTCAACATTGCAGATAATGATTTCGGTACATTGAAGGTTTTTATAGAGCTTTTTCTGTAAGTGTATTATTGTAAATCTATTTTAGCAGCATACCTGAAAAATCAGAGATGCAACCACAGTATGAATACGGTCATTTATTTGTACTGTTCCATTTTGAGTTGTTCCGAGAGAATTGATGAGATATATTCTGTTTAAGTGACAAAAGTACAGTGATCTAATCTAAGTCATGTTTGTTTCTTTTTTGGTGTGTGTGTGTTTGTTACCAGTCCTTTCCCCTCATAGTTTTGCAATAGGAGATACATCCCAATTACAACCATATGCACATGGAGGTTTCTTCGTCCTGGTGAAAACCCCCAAGACATACACATTTGTAAGTAGAGTAACATGAGACACAGATATCACAGTCCAACCTGAAAACAAACATGGTGTTTCCAAATGAACATCCTGAGCGCCTTCATATTTCTGTATTTCAGGAAACGATAGAGAGGCAGTTGTGTGATCCTCAGGTCCTGACACCAGACTTCAGTAAACCAGAGGTGAGTGTTTGAAGCTGTTCCTGGGCAGTTAACCCATGGTCAAAACCTTAAGCTTCACATTATATTAAAAAAGTAAAAGAAGCACACGTGTGGGCAGTAACATAATCAGACTTCTTAGTTTATTCTATTCTATTTTTATAATAACCAGCTTATTTAGAGTTGCTAATACAAGTGAAGCCAGAAAAGAGATTACTCATTAATTAAGTATTTTATCCTAGCTGTGTAATATATACTCAAGTTAGCAAATGCCTGTTATTTTTGTCAATTGTTTTCTCATAATCTTTTCTTCCACCTATCAGGCTCCTCTACAGATCCATGCGGCCATGTTGGCTTTGGACACCTTCCAGGAGCAACACAGCAGACTTCCCAACATCGGGTAAATGCAGTATTTCTCTGCTGCTCGCTGTCTACATCCAGTCTGCTGCTATTCTTTCTATACTCCTGCACGGCACCTGAGGATATCACTGGGCCCTGTCTGTGGTTTTCACTGTGTTGAAATGTTTCATGTTCAGTTGTGAGCAGTTTCACTTTGATGCCATCAGGTGTTTACAAGATGCTGAGGTTTTACTGAAGCTAACTGAGGAAGTGAACGCTACTCTGAGGAACAAAGTGAGTCTTCTCTTTTTTTTTTTTTTTTAATATCCTTGTGCTTTAATTTCCCTTTAATTCCCAGCAGAGATGAACACTCAATCCTTTTCCTTCCTCTTCTCTCCCTCTTTCCTTCCAGGCTCCTGTTAATGCTGAGCTGGTGAGCTGCCTGTCGAGGACGGCGATGGGAACTCTTCCTCCTTTAGCTGCAGCTGTAGGAGGCCTAGCCAGCCAGGAAGCTCTCAAGGCCATCACAGGGAAGTTTGCACCACTACAGCAATGGGTAGGTCACCACAGTAGATCTTATTTTCAAGAGCAAAATGTTCCTTTTAGAGTTCAATAGCACAGTCTATTCCATTTCTATTGCAACACTTTTATGGGAACTACTAACTCTAATAGCTTTTGCAAATATTTCTTCAGCATTTTGCATCTTTTTTTATAATTTAACTGTTAACTTTATCTCTGTTTAGTTTTACCTCGATGCCATCGAAGTTGTTAGGCCACTTCAGTCTCTTACTGCAGAGGAGTTCATTCCCAGGGGTGACCGGTATGACGGATTACGAGCTTGCATTGGTGAATCTATGTGTCTTGAACTGCACAAGCTCAGAGTCTTCATGGTAAGACTTTCTCAGCATTTTGATGATATCTATTATGTTGCATGAAGTTGAAGTTTGTGTTTGAGAAAATGTCTTCTCCTTCAGGTCGGCTGTGGTGCCATAGGCTGTGAGATGTTAAAGAACTTTGCTCTGCTTGGGGTTGGATTGGCCAAGTGCTCAGGAGAGGTGTGTATTCGCTCCCATTTTGTTTTCTCTCCTCTGTCTTACTGCATCTCAACAATTTACTGAAACTTACTACACTGCCCTTCCTCAGGTTTGCATTACCGACCCGGACCTCATAGAAAAGTCGAACCTCAACAGGCAGTTTCTCTTCAGACCACATCATATACAAGTGAATACACATCCTTTTCCATTTACATGAATCACAGTCTATGCACTCACCATTCTTTGGAGTTAAATCTTGTGCTACTGCTGTAACATGTGAATTTCCCCACTGAGGGACAATAAAGGAAATCTAATCTAATCTAATCTAAACACACTCAATCGTACTTGTGTTTCTTCTTTGTCTCAGAAACCGAAGAGTACCACAGCAGCAGAAGCAACTCGCGATATCAACCCCGACCTGCAGGTGGATGCTCATCTCAACAAGGTGTGTCCGGCTACTGACAATATCTACAGTGACTCCTTCTATTCCCGCCTGAACCTGGTGGTCACTGCGCTGGACAACGTGGAGGCCCGGAGATATGTAGACAGGTTGGTCTAAACGATAATGTAGAGTTAGTGAAGTGATGTGCCTCTATATGAAAATTCAAAAAAATGCCTTTAGAGGATAGTGCTATGTAAACATTGGCCCTGCAAGGTCCAAGACGATTTGAAACACTAGGTGGTGTTATGAGCCATGTTGAGTCCATAAATTAAAATATATTTTTTTATGAATGTGATAATAAAATTATATTAAAACCTGCATTAATGTATTTCATCAAACAGTCATATAATTTAGTTCAGAGTTCAAAAACACATTAAAGTGTTCGGTGTGTTCAAGTGTTCTGTTTAAAAACTAAAGTATGTGGTACTTACTGTTATAACTAAGTACTGATGTGTTTCTGCATGTATTTTATTTCAGTCGCTGTGTATCCAATCGGAGACCTCTCCTTGACTCGGGCACCATGGGAACTAAAGGACACACAGAAGTCATTGTGCCAAATTTGACTGAGTCCTACAATAGCCATGTGAGTTTGAAACCATATTTCTGTTCAAACACAGACTTTACTCTAAGTACAATGCTTAAACATGTATCTTCCAGAGAGACCCCCCAGAGGAGGAAATCCCATTCTGCACACTCAAATCTTTCCCTTCTGTCATCGAGCACACCATCCAGTGGGCCAGAGACAAGGTCTGCTTTTCTGACCAAATCCCTCTTTCATTTTCCACGTGATGATTATTTTTTATTTTCGAAGCTGTCTGTCTGTGTACTGTCCTAATTACATTTTTATTTCCATGGGTTTACGTAGTTTGAGAATGCATTTGCCCACAAACCCTCCGTGTACAACTTGTTCTGGCAGACCCACTTCTCGGCTGAAGCGGTGCTACAGGTAAGACTTTGTAAATCATTGTGTTTTTATCATTTATTTAAGATAATCTTTTACTGTAGTACATTCAATAAACACGGAATTGAAAGACCATTTGTTTGTGTGTTTGCAGAGGATGCAGGCAGGGGATAGCCTGGAGGGGTCATTTCAGGTCATTAAGCTCCTAAGCAGACGACCTAGTCAATGGGAACAATGCATTGCTATAGCCCGTCTGAAGTTTGAAAAGTATTTCAAGAGAAAGGTAATAAATCTCTACCTGAAACTACACACTCATAACAATTAAGTGTTGTGCAACATGATAACTATTGTTCTTTGTCCTTCTTTTCATCCAGGCTCTCCAACTGTTGTACTCTTTCCCCCTGGACACAAGGTTAAAAGATGGAAGTAAGTTTTTTTTAAACACATATTTGCCTCTACATTTATTTCACAGCAATTTCATATAACTACAGTATAAAATGTATGTACATACTGAAATCTTTGTCCTCATCCTTAGGTTTGTTTTGGCAATCCCCTAAAAGACCTCCAGCACCCATTGATTTCGACTTGAACGACTCTTTGTGAGTGCTGCATTACTTCATATTACAGTTCAACCCTCTTTTTTATTTTATGTTTCACATCTGAGCTTCTTGTCAAACCCTCCTCTGTTCCCATCAGGCACTTCACCTTCATCATCAGCACTGCTCGGCTTTTTGCAGGGATTTATAACATCCCTTACTCAGAAAAGGTAGGCCATCTACACACACACACACACACACACACTTAACCGACTTAGTGACTAAACCTTCTCATCCATCAGGACCTCTCCAAAGAGGCAGTGACCAGGATTCTCTCAGATGTCAAGATTCCTGAGTACAGGCCTTCAGAGAAAGTAAGCTCCTCCACTCTCTGCTGCTTGATTTGTGAATGTAGAGCAAGAAATCCTGAACTTGTTTGTTGTGGATCTTTCCCTCCCAGTGTATAGAGACAGACGAGACGGTAAGGAAGCCTGATCAGACGAAGATGCCTCAAAGCAGTGATGAGGAGAGGGAGGCCATCACACAGCTAGAGCAGGCCATTGCTGCTGATGGTGTCACCCCTGGTACATGCATAAAGAATAATAACTGAATATACACTGAAGATGGTTGTTATGATTTAAAGATAAATGTATAGTAATATTATTGTAACTCCTGTGTGTTAATCTCTTTGCAGAGAGATTACAGATGCGGCTGCTGCAGTTTGAGAAGGACGATGACAGCAACGGCCACATGGACTATATCACGTCAGCATCTGCGCTCAGAGCGTTGATGTACTCCATCGAGCCGGCCGACAGACTCAAGACCAAACGCATCGCTGGCAAGATCATCCCTGCCATTGCCACGGCAACAGCTGCTGTGGCTGGACTGGTAAGAGAGACACAACACACTTTGTCTGTCTTTTCTTTATAATTCACAGACACGCATGTTTGAGATGTTGCCATCCTGTGTCAATGCTTATCATATGACTATCAGCGTTTTTGTGTATTGTCTGCTCAGACTTCTTATCTTTTATTTTTTGATGTACTCAGGTGGCTCTCGAGTTAGTCAAGGTGGTTGGAGGCTACGGGTTTGAATTTTTCAAAAACTGCTTCTTTAACCTGGCCATCCCTGTAGTGGTGCTCACCGAGCCTGCACCAGTTAAACGGACACTCATCAGGTAAGAGCTTACGTACACCTCACTGATGCAGCATCACAACAACAACGTTGCAAGCAGGCACCAAGCGCAGGAGTTAACCCTGTTTTTTATTATCGTCAAGTGCTGACAGTTGTGTGATGTCTTTCCCAGGGATGACATCTACTTCTCCATCTGGGACTGTTGGACTATTTTCGGACATGAGGACTTCACTCTCTCTGACTTGATGAATGCAGTGAGGGTAAGAAACATTACTTACTTTGGTTTACTATAAAAAAGTATGTTTGTATTTTCCCTGAGCTTTTTTAATGTATCTTACCTGTAGTGTCAAATAACACGTTGATGCTTTTTATGATAGGAGAAGTATGGAATTGAACCCATTATGGTTGTCCACGGTGTGAAAATGCTCTATGTGCCTGTGATGCCTGGACACTCAAAGAGACTTAAATTGACGTAAGTTCCTTCCCTGAAAATAATGAAAATTCCCCCTTTATCGTTCAAATGTAGTGTTAGTGCTGAAAATTTATTCAGAAATATATCTGTTGTCTGCAATAAACAGACTGTTTAAACTCTGACTCTCTGCAGGATGCAGAAGCTGATCAAGCCATCAGTGGGCCGCCGCTATGTCGACCTGACCGTGTCATTTGCTCCGGAAGCAGATGGAGACGAAGACCTCCCTGGTCCTCCCGTCAGGTACTACTTCAGCCGCGATGGAGAGACGCCATGACACCTTTCAAAAAGTCGTCCGTAAACCTTTTGTGTCCTTACTTCCCTTCCTGTAAATTGTTGTGCCCCAGTAACCTGGGCCAGGGGTCAAGAGCTTTCCCTCAGGATTGTATCTGGCAAGGGCAAAGCTCCTGGCCCCAGCACAAGCCCACTCCCCCTGTACTTCATGAAGCAAGAAGGAGTCCTGGTCCCAGTTTTTCTAGCCAGTGGAACACGAGACTGCTCGAGTAACACGTACCTGTACCTGTGTACATATATTTTCTCTGTTCTGTTTTCTACTGGTGAAATGCACAGCTCTGCCTGTGTCGATGCCTTAATTGATAAATAACCTCTTTCTGTTTGTGGCAGTGAGTCTGACTAAAAACTATGTTTACAGAAACCTGCATACTCCCGAAATAAAGACCCATGAGTCTCATATCTGTTTTAAATCGGCTCGGACCGCCGGAGCAATGAAGTGGATTTGTAGGCATCATGTCTTCTTCTTCCTCAGAGTCCTCTCCTTGGGTTTGAAAATATTGCTGACAGCAGAATTATCCAGTTGCCGGTCATCTCTCCTCATAGCAACAGGTCAAGCCAGTATTTGTTGTTTTTAAATTCAAGGTTCATCAGGTCAGTGGACAGTGGCGAAACCACCAAAGATACTGATTATCATTGAGTCTGCAGACGATTGTTCTCTTTTCATCATCACATTGAATGCATCATCAAACACATGTATATCACAAGGTATTGGTATTGCTCAAACATTAAAGGGCAACACACACAGCTGCATCTCGATGTGCGTCTTCATCGATGAGCATCAGCGTCTCAGAAAAGCAGCAATTTAATTCTATTGCCTCCCAGTCAACTGATGCAGATGATGTGTGGTGCACTTAACAATGAGAGGAAAACCACCTCTAGTTGTAGCTGCTCGTTTTACCTGTTTCATTAGGTAACCACTTCGTTAACACGTTTGGGAAAACCATGTTAAATAATAAAGTTCAATGTTTCACACAGACATGAAAACACATCTGGAATTACACTCCTCTTTTAAAACACCTTTTTTAAGAAAACAAATTCTTTGCTGTTAATGTATTTCTTGCATTTGTTTATGGATGTTTCCATGCCGTGTATTTATTTACTTGTTACTCATTTTTGTCACTTTTTTTGTGTCAAACTGAGCCTGTGTTGAGCTCTGTTGAGTCTTGGTGCACTGGTTAATCAACAGCTGGAGGTGTCCATCGCACACCTCCAGCTGTTGATTAACTGTTTATTTCAGTAGAAGGCTGTGACGAGGATCTTTGAAATGGTCCTCATTGGCCTGTGCAAATTAACAAAGACGTTAATGTAGTTTTGAGTGGAATCATCGAATAATGAAAAGATCCAGTTTCTATAATGAAGTTATCAGACATATTCAAGTCTCTGACCATTACCAGAGGTGGTAAATTTCTCTTGGCAGAAGAAAATGTCTCTCATACTGACAACACTTATTGTGCAGTGAATGTCATAAGTGTAAAACAAAATAGTTCTAATGAGCTACAATGATAATGATGTATGTTCTTGTGACAGACAACTCAATCAATGGTCCAATAAAATGTGAGAATTCAGGATGTCCTCCAGATAAGCGCTGCTCCAAGTCTTTGTTTGAAATTTCGGACTCGATCGAAAATTATTGAAACTTTTCTGATCTTTTCAAGCGACATTCTCCAGGTCTAATTTCTTACATTAGAGGATTTGCTGCTTTTCTTTGCCATATTACAGTGAACTGAATATTTAATGTAAATGAAAAGAGGCATTTATTCTTTATTTTTTTATTCTATAGACAAAATGACTAAGAAAATAATCAACACATTAATCATTAAAATAACCATTCATTTTTCAATTTATTAAATAACAGAATATCATCTTACATAAAATATCATTTCAAGTATTAATAAATAAAATTTGATTCTTTTCACAAATGTATAATTTTTGACTAAACAAGAGAGTAGAGTTATAAATACATTCAATAGTTCATTTAGAGTTCATAGAGCTAACATGGCTATCTTATATTTTTACATTTCATTACTGTAAGTATGTTGATTAAAAATATTTGAAAAGATCATGTTATTTACACACATCACACAGCTACAGTAACGACATGTTGGTATCAGACATTCAAATATTACAGATCGATGTCCTGCAGGTTCCCCCAGCTGGGTCCCACCTTCACTTTGGCCTTGAGCTTTACGTACAGTTTTACCGCTGACTCCATTTCTCTCTTTACTATCTGAGCGACCTGACAAAGGGTTTGGAAAGAAATCAAGAATTATACGTTGTGGGCATGGAGGTGGCTGGGAGAGCACCGCAACCTGTACCAGAGGATCGATCAGTGCAGGTGAGAGCTGTTAGCTGATTGATCCTCAGGCTTAAAAGGCAGCAGAAGAGCTGCCCAGTGGGACAGACTTCATGAGAGACGTCACGCTGAGACAGAGCTGCAAAGCTGAGGGAGTTTAAGTTTGATTTATGTTTACTGATTTAAAAAAAACAAGTTAAAATGCTGAAAAGCAACAGTTTCGTCTCTGGCTGTGTGTCAGACCCCGGTGGCATGGTCGTTTGCAACATACATAAAGTCTTTTCCAGACTGTGCTGTCCTGTTTGTTAACTTGTCCTTAAAGAGATGTGCAGGAAATGCACTATGTTCAAGAAAAATGGTCATATGATGTCTCTAAGTTTCTTTTTGTAATATACATTTCTGTCTTTTAAAGACACTCAGTTCAATAGCAGGAGAGGAATTGAGTAACTGACAATCCAGTAAATAATTTCCATACCTGTATGAGGTCGTCCTCTGTGGTTTCATAGATGAGCTCATCATGCAGCTGCAGGACAAAGTAGGCTCCTCTTAGGTGAGATGTCCGAGCCCTGCTCTGGTTTCTGGCTGTATAATAGAACAGCATTGACTAGTCAGACGTGATTAGTCTACAGGCTTTCACTGTCTGTATGTGGTGTGAGAATGATGAGTGTGTGTCACCTGAGAGTGTGTGCTGGTGAGACGGCAGAGCAGCAGGATATGTTTTCCTGAGTCTCTTCTGGATGTTCACGGTGGCAAGTTTAACAATGTCTGCTGCTGAACCCTGAACAGTCGTGTTCACTGCCTGACGCTCTGCCTGAGGGAGGGAGCAAGAGAGCAACTGATGTTATGAGCAAATGAAACAAAAGAATCATATGCATTTCTCAGCTTACATAGAAATGTAAGTTGTGGTGGAGCAGCTTGCTTACATGTGCTTTGATGTGCATGTTGGTGTTAGTGATTCCAGGGAGGTATCTCCTGCGGCCCTTCAGAGTCTGAACGTAGCCGTTCTTTACACAGTTCTTCACAGTTTCTTTAAGAAAAGCATTGATGCCTGAAACATAAAAAACAGAACATGGAAGTTTAATGTCTCAACTGCAACAATGTGGGCAGTAATTGTATTAATCGTTCCACAAAATCTGTTTAAGTATTTGTGGATACCCACTTTTTGCAACTACATTTTAAATACACTGTATTCAATACATTCTGTGCCATTAGTTGTACAAGTGTCATTGAAGCAGAAATGGAAATGTGCCTACCTTTGTATCTGGACTTGAAACTCTCTATGTAACAGGCAGCATCATTCTCCTCCACTCCCATTTGTTCCCCCAAAGACTTGGCTCCCATCCCGTAAATTATACCATAACAAATCTGCAAAGACAAACACACATTATGTGTCACACGCTGGTGAGCTTCCCGTCTTAGATGCATATCTGGTTCTCGTCTCTTTCCTGCCTCGTACCTGTTTCGCCTGTTGTCTCAGGTTGTCATTCACCGTCTCTGGGTCGATACTTTTCCACTCAGCAGCGATGCAGCGAAACACATCTGCTCCTCCATTCAGCACCTGGTGAACACAGAGGCTCTGTCGTTTCTTTACCTGCATATCGATGTTTAACATACATTCTTACTATTTGCTTTAAACCACTGACCTGTAGAAGTCGCTGATCCTTGGACAGGTGAGCCAACACTCTCAACTCCAGCTGGGAATAATCTGCTGCTAATATCATTCCTCCTGCAGTGTTGTGCAAAAAGACAAGTTTGACACAACAGACTGAGACTGAAGTTACAGTTCAACACTAGACAATTACATCATTATAGTCACCTGAAAACGGCACAAAGGCGTGTCTCATGCTGACAGAGAAAGTCAGGCCTTGTCCTGCAGCTCCGGCTGTAACTGAAGGCACTGCAGAGCGTCTCTTCTTCCTGTAACAGAACAGTAAAAGCTTTGTAATGAAAATGCATCTAATTCTATCAATTCCAGCAACTGTTAGAAAATGGTTTTTAAAAGACTTGTTTCACTTTACACCTTCGGACTCAACTTGTATGAGTTGGCACTTGTTGAATTTATGACACTGTAATACCTGACTCATATAATTGTATGTGGTATTATGAATATTGGCATTAAAGAGTGGACACATCACGAACAAAGGCTTTTATGTGGTTGCCTCTGATTGTGACTGATCATCACACAAATACATACATTTACTTTTATATTGACATATTCAACTTTTATATAATGTATCTTCTGTAGTGTTTACATGCAACAGCTCAAAATGTAACATTTATGGACTTTTTCTTTCTCAAGCAGACAGATTTTGTGAAAATGATAAGTGAGGAAGGTATGATTAGAATAACAGTTCTTACTGAGAACGTACTGTGGCCCCTGGGTGACCCCAAACCCCCTATTTGAGAACAGCTGGCTGATAGATCATACCCACCCTGGTTTGTTCTGCCGGCCGTTTTGTGAAGGAGGACTCTCCTCCACCACCGTGGGCATGTCGATCTCAAAGTCTTTGGGGACGTTCTGTATGTTGGGCTCAGTGAAGCTCACTCGACCTGACAGCAGAATGAGTTCGGTCACTGCATGTTTTATATTTACTGCAAAATAAAACGTGCTGAACAAAAATAATTCAATTCTATGTGCTTTACCTGTGGCTGTGTGTGTCTGTGCGACGGGGTAGATTCTGTTCATGGCCAGAGTAGGATGATATTGTTTCTCCCTCTGCAGGGGGAACACCACTTTAGTCAGGGCATTAGTGATCCGCCTCCACTCCAGAATCACACCTGGCAACGGGTGCAAGGGGCGAAGTTTCTCCAGAACATCCTGCCAACATATTTTTAATTTAGTTTAAACACAGTGGATGTTTAATCTCCCTGATAATTTTGTGAATGCAAGGTAGTTTCACCTTGGTGGTGCTGAACTGCTTTCCAAGTCGTACTCTGCCACCGGCGCCTCTCCTGGTGTAGCCCAGAGTCTTCTTTCCTTTTGATCCGCCCACGTCACCATTTGGAGGCAGGTGAAGCTCCAAGAACAAAACCTAGCATACATACATTTGACATAACTGAGACTGAATTTGGAGTTTGGTTCCGAAACACTGTTGACATAGAGGAGAAACGTGTCAAACCTGTGCGATGTCGTCGACACTGGTGAGGGAGAAGCTGTGTCCAGCCAGGTTGTACGCCTGAGATTCCAGAGTTGAGAGTTTGGCCTGCATCACGTGTTTTTGTCTCTCACACTCTTCAACACTGAAGCCCACTCCATTCAGTTCCAACAGAGCCAGACACACCTGAGAAGGCATCTCAATGTTCCTGAAGAGATCTGACACATGCAAACAAAACATTAACCCACTGATGTTTGCCACAGCTCTGCCCACTGCTACAATACTGCACGGTTGACAGTCTTTATACCAAGCATGCCGTCTTGCTCCAGCAGCCCGGTGACGTGCTTCATGACAGCATGCACAAGCACGCTCTTGGTCGCTGCCCTGACACGAGGACAATGCGCGTGTGCATTTCCGAGTCCTTCCAGCAAAGGTAGCTCTTCAGGACAGTAGACAGTCACCATGTTGGGCAGAGTCCTCTCCTCACTGCCAGGGTCCATGAGCCAGCATGCGACCTGTGGTGAACATTGTCCTACATAAATAAGACGTCCTTGCGTTGCCATTTCGATGCAAAGTATGCAGAGTACGTAGATCTGCATGTGATTGGACACTGTGTGAGTCCCGTTTTCTCACCTTGGGGTCTTCACAGCTGCCCTCCAAACTGATGCCACAGCTCAGTACTAGCGTCTTGTACACCTGGATGATGTCATAAGTGACAACCACACCCCCACCGAGGTCCTTCGATGGCTGGCTCAGACAAGCCCTCACCTGCTCCAGCCTGTCACTTACTGGCAAATTCTCATCCAGCAGGGGAGGAGCCAGACTGGAGCTAAAACCTGAGCGCAACACAGACAAATTGAATGAAGGGAACGTTTCAATTGGATTGTGTGCAGTTACGTGCGTGTGCGTGCCGATACCTTTGCTCTGCTCTTGCTGCAGAGATATGTAGTATGCGTCTCTTGCTCCCCAGCAGACCGAGAGTCCGATCAGCACCAGCCCATCACTGTTTCTCACTGGAAATCCATTGAGCTTCTGATGAGCTGCTGATGCTGTACAGATGAATACATGCATGGATGAGGGTTGATGATTTCTCTGCGCAGTACTTGGTAGATTAAGTCAATTTGGGGTTTAACACTCTATATCACATTTTACTGCAGCTTTATGTCCCCTCTATGTTTACCTTTATTGTGTTTCCCTCCAATTTCCTCCTCAGGCTGCTCTCTGCGCTCCCTCTTTTCACAGGCCAACGCCAGAGAGTACCGCTCCTTAGTTTTCCACTCTCCAATGAAAGTGTCAAACAGGCACCTGTCACTCGCTACGTCTATGATGGAGAAGGTCCCAGAGTTGAAGGAATTTAGTGATGCATCTTGGGACAGCTGAAGAGTGAAGCCTTCAATCACTGGCGATTCTGAATCAGATGGAGGCTTTGGTCGGGGAGAGGAGGGAGAGGTGTGCTGTGGAGGACGGCTGAGCTTCTGGTCGCTTTGTAGCAGGGGTTTGGTTTTTGAACTTGAGCATTGAACAGACCTCAGCTCTGATTCAGGAAGTGTAGTTAAAGATTTTGTTTTCTCCAGCTGCTGTTTGCGGCTCCTAACTGAATTTGGCTGTTTGGTGTCGGTAGCTACTGATGGATGATCACTGTGTCCTGAGTGAGATTTACGACATTTTGGGGCTGTCTGTTTCCGTGTGGGAAGGATCAAGGGGGTCGACTGGTTCAGGGGCTTGGTGGTGAGGGGTGACTGGACTGAGGAGGTGGTGAGTTTTACTCTGGGGGTTACCGGTGGTGTTTCCTGGGTGGGGGGAATAAGGTCACCAGCAGATCCGGGTCTCTCTGTGACATTCTCAGTGCCATGTTTGGAAGGTTCGCTCTCAGCATCAGGTTGCACATTCAGCTTTCCAGTGTTTGTGCCAGCTTGTATTGAGGGCTGAGGTGGATCTGGGGTTTCTGTGTCTGCAGCAGCAGTAGCAGTAGCAGCAGCAGCAGCAGCAGCAGTAGCAGTAGCAGCAGCAGCAGCAGCAGCAGCAGCAGTAGCAGCGTGTATTGGGTCTGTGTGGCCTGTAGTGTTTTGGCAGGACTGGTCAGACATACTTGGCCAACGGTCAAAGATCTCTTGTAAATCAGGGCTGCAATAAAGATTTCGTTCAGGTGCATTATCTAAAACTAAAACATTCATGTTTGTTTCCGTCTCTTTCTGTTTTCCACTCTCACCCCCTTGTTTCCCACTTGCTTTATTGTCATTAGTGAACTGTGTGGCTGTGGCCTTGTCAGGTTGTGCCTGTATCGGACCAGGTTCAGAAATTGACTGAACCTGAAACTGTTCCTCTGCATTGGGTTCCTGAGCTCGATGTCGGCCTTCCTCCTCTGTTTGCGTTCTCTCCGTATGCCTGAGTAAGCTCTGCCTCTCCATAAAATGTTCGCCTACAAACAGCGAGTCGCCCCACTCCGACAGGTTAAAGGAGGACTCGCCCCACTGGACTGCCTCCTGCTTTTCAGCCTCCTGGTTGGCGAGGAGCTCACTGCTTCGTCGCTCCTGGGTGGATGGAAGGGGGCGCTCCTGCTCCTGGCCGACAGATTCCTCTTCGTCTGAATGGTGGGAGATGTGGTGTGGGCTCAGACCAGCCAGCAGGGCGCTGTCATACAGGCTGTCGAACAGGAAGCTGCTGCTTCTGTTAGGACTCTCAGAAGCAACCTGATTGGCAGCAGGGACGTTATTATCATCATCATCATCATCATCATCACCACCTTCATTTTTCTCTTCATCCATGTTATCACCAACACCAGGACCAGGAGACACCTGGGAAAACAACAGCATGTCCTTATTAAAGAGGCAAAGCACATGATTATATCGTTTTTCTTATTTGCAGTACATCATAATAATTATTATAATTGATTCTGATGAGTCACCTGGTGGCTGGTGTTTAGGATGAGCTCCATCTGGCTATCTGTAAGAGAGATATTGAATTTGGGACATGGGTTGTCAGGGGCAAGTCTGTTGTCTCCCTCCTCTGTGGCCCCCTTCAGCTCTGCAGCTGTTTCTACCATTCCCTCCTCTTTTGTCTTTTCGGTTTCTAACACCAGATTCCCGTCTTTGAATTGGTATGACTGTTGAACAAGAATTCTTTCTGTCTGAGTGTCCAATTCAAAGCTGTCGCCAAAGCTCTCCTCTCCCTTTTCAACATCTCCCGCATACAGCTCCGGGGATGAAAAGTTATCCACCTCTCCGGACTCTACTCTTCTTCGTTTGGCTTCCGGAGCGAATAAAGGAGGATCTGATGTAGCTGCGTTTGTCGGAGTAGAAACTGTGGGAGGAGTTTGTTGCACAGGGTCAGTAGTTTGAGCAGCAGTCGACTGATGGACTGCAGGTCCTGAGGTGTCGGCTGATGTCAGATGGGATGTTGGTGCAGTGTTAGAGTTATCTTGGGGACATTTGTCAGTTTGTATGGAGTGCAGGACTTTGCTCAGAGCCCTTGAGTGCTTCAGTCTACTTTGCTGCACAGGTGAGGCAGCACCCCCTGTGGTGCCGTCTCTTTTTAAAGTGCTTGTGGAAATGGAACGTTGTTCTTCCGCCCAGGATATCGGGGCTCTGAAACGAGGAGGAGGCATTGGAGGAGGCGTGGGCTGAGGATGTGGCAGCGACTGAGGCAGAGGGCTGGACACTATATCCGCCAACTCCTGTGTCAGACTTCTTTCAGGAGCGGGCTGTTTTGTCTGCTGACCCACTGGTCTGGCTGAGACTGTGCCTTCACTTCCCTCCTCTGATATTTTGTGCTCCTCCTCTTCTTTTTCTGGCCCATCTAGTTTTTCATTTAGATTTTTAGTTGTATTTGCCATGGACATTTTATTTGTCCCTGCTTTCTTTTCAGTTTCTTTGCCATTCTCCGATGGCATCTCATTTTCAGTTTGTCTCATTTCTGGGTCTATTCCATCTTCCTCTCTGTGAACCTCAAACTTTTTGTTTACTTCCTTCTCAGCAGGTTTGGACTTCCCCGGTTCTCTCCAGATTTCACCTTCTGGTTTCTCCTGTTTTCTTTTCTCACCTCTATAATCATCCTCTCTATGTCCGTCAGTATCTCTACTCTTACTTTTCTTGAGTCTGCCGCCCTCCTGGCTTTCTTTATTGTTATTTCTCTGTGCTTCGTGTGACCTGAGATCTGAGCCAGATGAGGTTTCTGATTGGTCATCAGGGCTGTTGACACCAGGAGCTCCAGGAGGAAGTGTGGTCGGGTCCCACTGAACTCCTAGCTTGGCCAGGTCTTCCCGGAGAAGGACCCTCGCCTCAGAAACTATCTCGTTGGCTGCTTCCTGCTCCGTCAGGGCCCGCCCACCTGTCACCCAGACACAGCGAAGGCTCCGTCTCTCCACCGCCTCCATCTCACTTTCATCCACTGCACGTTTGGAGCTGAGGAAAGCAGACCACAGACTTTACATTTGGGCATTAGTATGAGGACAAATCTTCACAAAGATGATTATATTTACATTTTACCTTTAAAATAAATAAAGCCATTATTTTATATAGTGGACTATATAGTGATTAGTGAGTAATTTTGGACACAGCCAACAATTCAGTTGTTCAGTCACTTGTTAAGGGATTATGGGACGTATTCTTTAAAAAGTTCCAGCATCTCTACATGTTGTCTTACATTCATCATATTTAAAATGTGTAGTTTTAATTCACAACTTAATCACAGAAAGTGGATGTGTGTTAACTAATAACAGAACCGCACTAAGTGCTGAGCTATATGTTTTCTCAGCTGACGGCCCTTTTTATGCCTGTGTGTTGTCAAGGGACTACTATTACTACAACAGACACACACGCACCTCTTGAATGGGACTGCATTCCTTAAGGCTTTCTCCACGTCAGCCACAGTAGCCCTGGCTAGTTCAGCGACAGTACAGAGCCCTTGTGCGTAGAGCGCTCTGGCTCGTGTTGCATTCAGGAGGGAGACTCTGACCAGGTCGACCAGCTCCCTCTGGACTCCAAAGCTCAGCCTGGTCTGGTACTGGGACAACAGCAGCTCCATGTTGTGCCAGCCCAGACGCTTGCAGAAAACTGTCACCATACCTGAGGGATAGCACAACATGAACAAGCTTTTTTTAAGCTCAGGTTTTCTTGGGGTATTTTGCTGTGTCTGTGGGTTTATTTAATATAGACTCTCACCCAGACAGGATTGAGCACATTTAAGCACATGCCTACAAAGTCTACATACTCACACCTCGTGAACTCTCTCAAGGTAACTTGATGCAATAGACATGAGCACTAATGAACAATGGATACAGTATGTAGCTCTGAAGGAAGTATATCCGTGCAGAAACATCAGCTAATGGAATGAAGTCTGTTCTGTATATACATTATTCTGCTGCTTCCGGCATCAAGTTACTACATTTGTTACAACCCTCCATTTTTATTGTAAACTCTCGGTGTTCTACATGTCCTGTGTTGTAGACTTCAGTGTGTACCTGCATATGTAGAAGCAGACTGCTGGAGAGACTGTAACTGCCCACGATTGCAGTTGTATTTAGAAGCAACTGTTCCCAAAGGCACCTCATTCACCAGATCCTGGAGAACAAGGGTGGTGAAAAACCTGTATAGTGACAACAAAGAGGATGTTAAGGGTAAAAGCACAGTGTGAACAAAAACATCTCTAAAACTAACTGTTTGTCTTTCTGTAGATGCTGTCAGGCGCTCAGTGGTTTGTTTTACTGTCTCTTCCAAAATCCCTTATATAAATTTGAGGTAGTAAAACAGATGTCTAGTAAAACAATGTAATGATAATAAATAACTAAACCCCTAAACGTGATCTTTAATGAAAAAAATATAATGCTCAGTAATTAGTGTCTTGATTAAAGAGCTATTAGATTGCACTAAATTATACTGTGTATTTGTGTTCTTTTGCTCTACCTTGTTTTTTGTGTGTTTTTTCAGTAGTGCACATACTATCTATACACAGTACTGGCTAATATACAATATATATGTATATACTGTATATAACAATACTATTAAGATAAAAATTAGTTTTACCGCTTATGAATTGCCATCTGTCTACGCTGTTTGTCTGTCTTGGCGACAAGTTTGCCGCTGACAGACCGCGCCAGAAAACCTTCCTGGACGCCGACCAGCTCGGCCACTCTTTTCATCGAGGACGAGAGCTGCTCCCACAGACAGAAGAACTGATACCAATCTATGGTCGTCCACTCTGCATACAATGGGGTGATCTGAGGAGTTAGGACCAAGAATCATGTACGATTCTGCTTGTGGGGACAAATTAAATTGGTTTGAGGAGTGGACACTTCTGGTCAAAAGCTAGAATCAAGATTTAGTTAATCTTAGAAATGTAGTGGTGAGGGGTTAAGGGATAATTGGGAGTAAAAGAAGTTCAGAGAAAGTTATTAAAGTTGTACCAGATAAAGAATGTGTAAATCATTTTCCAGCACAAAGCCCTTCATAGCACGCTGGAGATCTGCAAATATTCCCAGAGCCTCGGGGGGGGAGAGGGAAGAGGACATGGTGGCAGCGCCCAGTTGAGTAGGACAGTATCGCTCCTCTGGATCTGCAGATACATCACATGATATTCATCAGAGGGTCAGTCTGATTCCCAGAGGTCTATTTTCAACGTGGCATGGTACATAATAAAACAGCACAAGGGCAATTGTGTCCGTACCGTCTCCCTCCTTCTGGATGCTAATAAATTCATTATCCATCAGCCATTCAACACAGGCCTCAATAGCCCCTTTGTTGGTCCCCTCGTCTGATCTGTGTTTGCCGTCACATTTCATGCTGGCAGCCAGAAGAGAACACGAAGCGTACAATGTCACATCCTGTGGAGTGCTGGCTACACCGCCAACAATGATCTGGGATTTGGGATGATATGAAATAGGCATAAAAAAATTAAATTGAAGAGAAACTGACACAAGACAACTATTGTATAAATGATAGTGTTAATGTAAATATCCATCATACCTCCAGGATGGCTCGCAGCATGCTAGTGGTGACACCGTCACCTTCCCTTCTCACCAGACAGCTGCTGATTGGCTGAAGAGCACCTTTGAGGAGAGTAATGCCTTTCTGACGCTCTGCCTCCTTACAAACCAACACACTCTCACCTGAAAGAGGAACAACAAAATGACATCATACCAAGGAAGAGAGCTGTTTTTATTTCATTTTTTCAATTGAAATGGGCTCAAATACACAGAAAAGTCTGCTGAGCATGATTTTTTTCTTCTACCCATCACCAGGATAAGAATAAACAAGGGATGAATCCACTTATCTCTTTCGTTTTTTTTCCCTATCTTTACTCCATACCTGTAGTGTCTACTCCTTTCCTCCCTGCTCGTCCTGCCATCTGTTTGTACGTGAGCGGGTCCAACAGGTGTCCATTGAAAGTCGGGGTTCGAATGATCACCCTGCGCGCTGGGAGATTAACTCCTGAAGAGAGGGTAGAGGTGGCGGCCAGGACCCTGACCACGCCCTGACGAAAAGCTCCCTCCAACACATCACGTTCATCGAATGTCAGACCTGCAGAGAGCACACAGCAGGATACAATCACCCTGACATTCAGCCCATAGTTTGTTCTTGTCAAAGGGTTCTTATGAGTGTGTTCACCTGCATGGTGGAAGGCCACGCCCCATGGCACAGTTCGCTGGAGGATGGGGTCAAGTCCAGCAGGAGTTCGTCTCAACTGGGCTAAAACATCCACTAGTCCCTCTTGATCCAGACACACTGGTCTGAGGTTAGTGTCACTCTGACCATCTGAAAGAAAGACACTGTGATCTGAATTTAGGACACAAGTCTTTATCCACATCACCTGGATAGTAGACATAAAGTTAAGTTCCCTGTGTGTGTTTTTGGTCATCTCGCTAAACAATATTCGCCAAAGGCAAGACATTACCTCTGCCAAGGAGGTTATGTGGTCCCCTCTGTTTTTTGTTTATTTGAAGGCAAGATTATACTTCAGAGGGCAGATCCAGAATTTAATTTCTCTTTTCTTCAACATGGTTAGGTAGGGCTTTTTGAATAATTCATGAATTATGTGAAAATAGTCAGGCATATTTAGGGGACTGCTATTTATGAGTGTGTGAAATTTGATGTCGATCCAAATAAAAATATGGATCTAGTGAGTTTAAATGTGGTTTCTCAAGGGGACTTTCTGGCCTTGTTGGAGATATGCATTCGTTTTGACTGAATTTACAAATTTCTCATACCAGCGTGTCGAAGGTTGTAGAACTCCCTTGCGATACTGTCGGCTAGTTTCTCACACCAGTTCTTCGAGGGGCAGAACAGCAGCACAGAGCGACCGTCTCTCACCGTCTCATAACACAAGCTCACTATGTGATCGTCATCACCCTTTAGAGCAGGAAAGATTTACAGCACATGATTATATTACTAGTCATGAGAAAGTATGCATCAATAATGATTACACACACACACACACACAGGAGGGGCCCTCCATCTCAATCACCTTAATCTGGAGTGCCGGGGTGAACTGTCGCACCACGGAGAGGCTCTTGTCGTAGATGTTGCAGCCCACTTTGAGATGCTCCTGCAGGGGCACAGGTCTGTAGTCAGTCTGGTAAAGCTCAGCACCTAACCAGCTGGCCAGGAGGGAGAGGTTAGGCAAGGTGGCGCTCATACCTATTATCTGTACACCCTCAGACAAAGACCTGTGGAAGGAGATGCACAGACAGACTTACTGATCTGTTCACAGGATTTATAAACACTGCACAACAAGACAAAGAGTCAAACAGACGGACCCTGTGGTGTTCTGTTTCTGGGCTATGTAGCGGATTTTGGTCAAAAGAAGTTCGAGCAGGTATCCTCTCCCAGAATCCCCGACCATATGCAACTCGTCCACCACCACCATACCTGGAAGCATAAAAACAACATACAACGTCAAACTCATACTTTATGTTCTATATTCATGAACACACACACAGAGATGTTCAGGGTTGCATTAAACAGTTATAGCCTCGAGCAGGATTACGCATAAACTACGGAACCGATTTCATCCAATTTTTGTGGATAGGATGAACCTGGGCCATAAAGTTTTGGCTGATCAAAGAATATTTTTCTTTGTGAAATAAGGTGTTTTTTTCATCACCCGGGAAATTATTCATTGATCCTGATAAACAAAGGTATATTTAGGGAACTGATATCTATGAGCGTGTGATATGTGGTGCAGCATGATTGAATTGAAGGGGACTGCTGGGTTTTGGTGGTATGCGCTTTACTGAGTGCCATTCTAGTTTTTAATTATAGATGAATCTATTGGTTTTTTAATTGATTAGTCCTTTGATCTATAAAAAGGCAAAAAAATGGTGAAAAAACACAAAACACAATGTTTAAGATCTCAAGGTGAAGTCTTCAAAAGACTTGGTTGGACGACCAACAGACACATGTCCAAATGTACTAAAGGTACAGTGAAAGAACACGCACATTTAAATGACTTGAAAGATTGATTAAAAAATAGCTGTAGAAATACATTTTATTTCATTCTACTACTTTTTTCAGCTTTATACACAATTACCACAGATGCAGATTATTACCTAGTAGACCCATACTGTCCTCTTCAATGAGTCTGTTGATCAGAGAGTTGGCTTTTTCTATGGTGCAAACAGCAACATCCAGCGCTGTGAACCCTCCAGCAGCTGAAGTGCTGCCCATGTATCCCTCCACACGAACTCCTGCCTCTTCAAATACACTCTAGAGGTGCAGAGACACACGTCTTTTAGATGGAGATAAACTCACAGACAACATCAGTACATTATTCTGTCCACTTCTCACTTGAAGATAGTGCATCTTCTCTTTAGCCACAGAGACAAAAGGCAAAATGAAGAGAGCTTTTCTTTTCGTCTCCAAAACACGTTTCAACATGAGCAGCTCTGACACCAGAGTTTTTCCAGCACTAGTGGGAGCTGAAAAAGAATAAAAATATAGAGGATAAAGTTGAAAGGAGCTACAAAACTAGAGAAATTAAACTATGAATCCATTTTTTGTAACATTTTCTTACCGGAGTACACCAGGTTACCTCCCTGCAGCACGTGTCCCACAGCGAGGCACTGAGCCTGCCACTCAAACATGCAAGTCACTTTGTGTTTCTGGTAGCGCTCCAGGACGGGTTTAGGCAAACCCCAACTGGATAACTGCAGCATTTCAGCTTGATTCAATGGAGCACACAAGGCAACGCCTACAAACACACACACATAACATTCTGCATTTACACATGACATGAAATGACACTGGTGGCAGTTTGAGTTCTGACATCAAGGTCTATTCTGAGAACACATGTTAAGATATAAATATATTTCAGTTAAAATTAGACTGGGCGTATGTCAACCATGAAGGTTTCATGACAGTGCTTAAAATGATTCACCTGGCTGAGGTAAGGTGTCACTGAGAGTACTGAGCTCCAATCCAGTGGGGACTGTGAGCACAGAGGCCGACTGATTCTGTAACGACTGCTGGAGCTTGGCCCTCTTCATGGCAGCTGCGAGGCACGTGGGGCTGAACAAGATGTAGTCTCTGGACACATCAAGAGGGGGGGCAGCGTTCTTACTTGATCCACTTTCCTCTTTAGTAAGAGGAGGGCTCTTTCTTCTGGGCGCACCCTTCTTCCTGTTGAAACACAGAGAGTGAGAGACATTTGCAAACAGCAAAGAATTGAAAGGAAAAAGAAAGAAAACAACAACTGGGTCCAGACTTACTTGCTGGAGCTGCCAGCTCGCTGACTGTCTTTTACTTCTCGACATGGAGGCTCTTTAATGTCGGCTGAAGTAGGCACCGGCTGGTCTCTTTCTGGACCCTTCTGAGCACTCTCCGCTTCCTCCAAATCCTCACTGAACAGAAGCTTCTGAGCGAGATCTTTGCACTCAGCCGTCCAACCTGGTCTCTTACTATCAACACTACGCCAACAGACTCTCTCCTGGGCGCTGAGGACTCCGTGGGGTCCCTGACCCGTGGGTACTCTGTCGCTCTCTCGCTTATTGTCTCCAACTGGTGCAAGCGAGTGTTCAGGGCCAAAGGCAGCTGATGATGCCGGCTCCTCATGTGCATCTCTCTCTACTGCTGTTGGATGAGCTGCAGGCTTCACAGGGTCGACGGCGTCCATCACCTGGAGCAACTCTGCATCAAGTGCTAATGTGGATTCTCCCAGTGGGAACACTGCACCTGCACCCTAAGATAGATAATAATACAGGTTAATTGTGATGAGGAATATTTTAAAAATCGATGAGAAACACCTTCTGCTGTAAACTCACCATGAGGCTGGCTGTGCTGTTTGTCCTGTCTGACGGTCTGTCTCCATGCAGAGGCTCCTCGGGCGCATGGAAGCTGAGGAGGAAATATATGTTGGCAGACCCATGAGCACAAACAGAAATGTTGTTTCTATGTCATTGGATAGAAATGAGATGTTAAGGGGGAATAACACTGTGACGTGAAAACTGTGACTCACCCTTTCTTCTTCTTGATCTGGTGCTGACCCATGTAGCTCTTCCTCTTGTGAGGACCCGAGGTGCTCATAGTGAACAAGCTGCGCTGCTTCCAACAGACGTGTGAGAAGCTGGATGTTGATCAACATGACACAGGTTTATAAACTGGGTTAAACAACGTGAATACACTTTCTACTGTTATTTTATACATGAATCATTATTTTGGTCGCTAAGTATAAACATTGTGTTTCTGTTTAGCAGCGCTGAAGCTTCTGAAATCAAAAAGTCCGCTGCTCCGCCCCGGTGTTACACTAAAACAGCTCGACGAAACAAATGCTTAAATGCGATTGTTCCTATGCATACTGCATACTGCATACTACTACTACTACTACTACTAATACTACTACTTCTACTACTACTACTACTACTACTACTATTACTACTACTAATGGTC